TTTTTTCCATGTTTTCAAGTATCATGTGAGCTCACAACCTTCTAGAGAATCTTGAGGCATCGTGGTCCAGGAATCATTCACTTTCAACTACAGTTATAAGAGAAATTAAAAGTTAATGTAGGGACGATGTAGAAGGCGCGGTCGCCAATGGGTTAATTAAGTTGGCCTCGCGCCCAGAGGCGATGTGACCTCAGTGGTACAGAAGTTTCACACCAATATTACTGCGCCCGGGATCCAAGGCTCACTTCTCCTCGCAGCCCATTTACTGCGTTCGGGATCCAAGGCTTATTTCTCCTCCCAAATCGACCAAACGTCCCATTGGAAGGTTAGTCGATCTGGGAGGAGGTTAAGGTTGCTCATCCGGTATTGTACTTATCTAAAAAATTGTGGCAACTGAGCCCAAATATTACTATATCTGACCCCTTGCCAGAAATAAGTGGCCGACGTCAAATTTCACACTTGATATAAAACCATTCAACTGTATCCAAACCTGATGTTACTTCGAGGTATAGCAGTGCAAGGCACCGGCATGCAGCATTAAGTTTTGTAACTTCAATAAAGCAGCTTTTTAAGAATTTAGATGTCCTAAGAAGAAAATGTAGAATCACATGCGAAGGAAAAAAGAACTAGGCTAGAAATGGTTACATCGAAAAGACTATTAGCTACTGGTGAAGCGAGAGACCCACGGTGTCGCCCCACAAGAAAAAATCGAACGATGTAGCCTCCGATGAAATACCGCGCCATTTGATGGCGACGGCAATGATAAGGAGGTGGAGAAAATGAAAAAAAACCGACCACCACCATGACGTGAATGTTATTTCAAGACAATACCTCATCTCTCGGCAGAGAAATGATCCTTCAGTACAAAAAAAGAATCTCATTTCCACCGAACGCGCCTAGAGGCAAAATAGTAAATGAGGTGAAGTCAAGACTGTTGTCGTCTCATTACTTTGGGGTTAAACACGCAGCTATTGCACTTTGTTCATGAAGAACCGGTTTCCGTCTAAGTTAATGAGGAAACACGAAAAAATTAGTCGACAGTAGTAGAAGCAACGCATCATGCAATAGATATTTACGAAGAACGAACTTTCCATGCAAACTCAAATGTAAAGAATAAGTTTATTAGAAGAATATTAAATGGAATCCCGCTCGAAATCACAGAAAACGCAAGTGGACAGACAATAAAGCCGTGAAGCTGAATATCTATAAACATTTGCTAACAAAAAGATTGTATTCGTTACGAACCATATCAAAATAGAAATATGCCATAAAAAGAAGAAAATGGGCACAGCTGTACACAGCGTTCATGAGAGGGAATATATGAGGGTATCGCTGAGGTGGAGTGAGTGTCCACTCGGCCACACAGATTGCCAGCGCTGTTAGACAGGACAGATGATAAGCGATGCATTGCTGAAAACATTAAATTCTAGCAGGATTTGTTATTTCCAGCCATTTCCTCAGACCATTGATATTACAATCGCATTCTCTTCGATGAAGGATTAACAATCAGCAATGACAAAGGGCAGTATTAACTGATTAGTATATAGTCGTTCGCAAACTCGTAACAAGGGAAGATTTCAGGCATGACTATAAACTTAGAAAAGAAATATTCAGGTGTCACAGTACAGAACTCACCAGTTTTCCGGAGAACACTGTGGTTGCCGAGCATGCGACGTAATACGCGATAAAAAGTGCAAGTATTGAACCTGTATGATCCTTCAGACAAAGTGAAAACAGGCTGAAATCATTAAGAACACAAATACTTTTCGGAAAAACGATTGGAATGTGAACATAACACAGCCGTTTCAACAGAATGAGAAGAGGGGCACCTCGGTGTTGATGTCCTCCATTCTCAATTGCGGGTCTACCACCATTTCAAACCTCGACAGGTATTATTGGATTATTGGACAGGGATGACTGGGGGGAGACCTCTTTCCTCATCCAAAGTCCATCATGGTTCTGTGCCTATGTAGAATACATCGTGTTTGAGATGCATCCACAGTGTCTGTCAAAAGACCTCAGACTGCGTGGTTTTTGCATGCAGTTGTTACTCTCTAATTGCCTGGTTTTTGTGTGATCCATTGCAAAGAGGAATTCCATGGAACCGCAACATAACGGAAGTGAGATTTTTGTGGTTGGATACCCATGATCCTGCATGAGAACCGTTGTTTGCGGATCACCTGTGACCACTTCCCATTGATCTTGTTCGGCTATCCACATGGGGCCACCAAAGAACTCGTTCATAAGGGCAGTGTTGTTGGTAGCTGCGCGGTATCGGTCGAAATCAGTCGTTATAGCAGGCATTCGTTACACACTTACTGGTTGCTAATTATATGCCCTATTGTTATGAATATCAAAAATCACTGAATCGTGAACAAATTTCTCTGCATTTGGGTAGTCAGCATAGAATTTGAGCTACCCCTCACTTAATTACGTCACGTTGTAAACATATAACTGCACAGAAGGATTCTTACATTAACAGGCCATAAAGAGGATATAAAATCAAACAGGGAATGTTTACCTTGTGTTTGTTATGTGAAGAAACCAAACAACTGCAACTTGGTAGTCCGGGAGCAACAAAAGTGCTGGCCTGAAAAAAAGTCTATTGATCCAAAATAAGCTCATTTTTTATGAACTCTTTTTAGAATAGTTAGACTCTTCAAAAACATAGCAACCCACACTGCTGCCAACAGTATAGACTTCTCATGAACTTGGAAGGAAAACAGAAAAAAGGCAAGCGAAGTGATGAACAAGCTTAGTGTGAAATTCTTCGTAGTTGGCCGCAGAAATAACAATACCAGAGAAGGAATAGAGGCTAGAAGGACAGATACAGCGCTGAAAATGCATCATTATTATGCCAGGCCAAAATCTGATATGATAATTCAACCTACCTGATTTTAACCTGCGTGTCCAAAGAAAAGTGGGAATTCATGCGCAAAATGAAGGAGAAAGCACACCAAACACTAGCGACCTTATCCTACAACAAGCTGATGGATTTCATGAAAACTGTCTGGATGTTTGTACGAAGAAAGGAAAACAATAAGCTGTGACTATCTTTCAAGGCCCCATGAAATGTAAGTGTATGAATTACCTCATAAAGTCCACGACAAAAAGGAAAAATTCGTCCAAGAACGGCGAGAACACTTTGTGAACCATTATATATGAAGGGCAGCCAGATGATTGCAAACGTTAGTATAACAGTAACTGCCACTTTTACCAGAGGAACAACGCTAAAATTTTTGATGTGCAATGTCTATGAAACAGAAAAGCGACTAAATGAATATTGTGAAAAAATAACCTTTCATAACGATTAGCCCATAAAGGCCTCTTCAGGCATCGTGCAAGTATAAACACAAATATAGGAAGTGCATGATAGAGTTCCATCTGCTTGTAGTTCAAGGAAAATACGAAAAAGATCGAACCGAGTAGAAGCTTTCGATTTATAAGGAAAAGAAATGAGATGAGGAATAGTCCCAAAGAAACACTATTGTATCTGAAAATGGACTTTTGAAATTCGCCAATGAACAAAAGAGAACTGCGTATAGAAATTGGACAGCTTTATGGCATGCTGTGTTATCCCTCTCTGATTCTCTTCCCTAATCTATCCTATTCTATTCTCCAAGTCAATTTCATCACCATACATTTCGAATTCACTTCTAATAACAAACCGATCAGTTGGCTATCAACTGTCACAACAAAAGTCGTTCACACTTACAAAAGTTGTTCTAACTTGATACGGCGGAAATGAATATGTAAATCAAAGTAAATACGAAAATAAGCAGCAAATAAAACGAGGACGACCCAGTCCCAGCTTTTTGAAGCCAAAAAGGTACCGATAAAGAACTCACTGAAAATGAGCGTTGTCTATTGCGATTAGGCCTGGATAAAGTAATGTTAGTGCCAGTAACGAGTTCTAAGATATAATAATGATTCATATGAGAATCAATCAGAAACTGTTCGTGAAGTGACTCACTATTGATTTATCCTTTGCTTTAACTTCATAATAGAGGAAGTAAACCAGAGCAGGCATATAGATAAAGTGGAAAGGTAGAATAGCCGTAATACGCATAAACATTTTATGCAGCTCGTCCTGAATCCCTCTGGAGGAATTCAGCGCAACCCATGCAGGATTCAGGAAATGTGCTCTAAAAGCTTTGATTCACTTATCTGATTTGGGCATCAACCACGACTGAGAGGACTAAAAACAAAACCCGTGATTGAATCTTGTAATACGAACAACGTAAAACTCACATCATGCCCATGAAATAGCTGTGATAGGCAGTGAGAGGCGGATAGTCGAGGCCCCAGTACAGCAAGTCATTATCAGTGCCGTTTACATACCTTCAAATAAGAAATCCTAGTTCAATCAAATGAAAGGGGTTCATAAGTGCTCCAAACTAACCACTTGTTCGCCGGAATGTGGATTGTAATTTCCATCCAATGTCGCTGAGCTTCGAAGTCCCCATACATCGGCGGGTTTCCCTGACCTGCAAGCTAAATTGTTGCCCGGGACTGAGAAACGCTATGGATAACTCTATAAATTACTGTAATTTACTCTCACGCTATGGAAAGTACTAGATGAGTTGCAAGCCATAAAGGCAGTGTATGACTGTGTGGTAATGTATCGCAATCAGCAGACTTCTATGACCAAAGCTTAATCAAGGGTAACAAATCAAAAATGCAAGAAAATCACCGTCTCCAATTCTCAGCTAGTTTTGGAAAACTGATTTAATAATCATGAATTTAAAATGAGCCCCCGCAGTCAGTTTCCATCCAGAATCGTAGTAGCGCATGTGGCCTCACGATGAATTGCGGTAGCCATACGAAGAGCAAGTCAGTGCTTTTACCTTGCCAAACGAGTCTGGTACTAATAAACCGCTTCCGGAAGAGGAGAAGGCTTGGCTGGCCTGAGCGAATATGGAACCGAGGTTCGATCCCAAATCATGCGTGTATACTGATAGCGGGCCATCTGCGACAACCCCACCTCTGCCTTGACTAATACTGAGTCACTTTCGATCCTACTTTTAAAAGATGTCAGACCCAAGATAGAAGATCAATTCAAAACTGAATAGCGACCGTCCTAATCGAGATGTAAAGGGTCATGCGAACATCATTAAATTACACGCTGCTAGGCATTAATATAAGCACCAGAGCTATCAAGCAACAACCTAAATATCCTATACTAAGCCAGGACGACGAGATGGTATACCCTTCAGAGGTAGACTTGAGTCTCTAGGAATCGCTTCTGAACGGAAACTACCACTACTCCAACTAATCAAGGGGATCACATTAATTGATGATCATTTTTCAAGCAAGGAGAGCAGTACTCCAATCCTTGCCCCCAAGTAGCTAACTCTAACGATCGTCACGAACATTGGATTTCTCCTTTGCATGCGTCTGTAAACGAATCGACCGCCTTGTTACTAGAACAACAAATAACATACCTGAATAGCTACCGACGGCTAGAATTGCTTGTATTGTAGCTACTAGGGAGATGATAAATATCAGGAAAAGGAGATTGAAATTCAAGGCAGGTTCAATCTCCAATGCAGGAATCGTCTGAAGAATTCAAATAAACTTCTTGAAGAAATAGCGTAAAAGAGCGTTGTCAGCAAGCGTACAAGCAAATCTGCCATTCACCTTTCGATTCTCCCGCACTGTGCTCGGGACAGTATATGGGTGAAAACGTCTAGCATCTTCTTTTCCGACATTTGTGTATTTGGGATTCAGTTGTAAAGTCCAACCCTCCATTTACTTCCAGGTTTAAAATCACACCTAAAAAGAATAAGGGCACAATAACTGAAGCTTTAACACTTGGTGCTCGAGCTCTACCTACTTTGCTCTTATTAAGCTTACTTTGCCCCAGGTTAAAGGTATGTTAAAGTTGTCAATTGGGGATTTTTGTGGTATACAGTAAGAAAATAATTTATAATGGTTACGTATTTTGAAAAACTTTAACTGCAGATAATTTGCAGACGGCACACCAATTGCTCGTCGCCAGCTTAACTGCCTTTTTAAAAAACTGATTTCCTTTCAAATTTCATGGGATTCATGTCCGTGATTTACCGGCTTGATTTACTATTTACTTTCTTACTTGTATCCAGTTACCATGTGTGAGTGTCACTCACATATGGCCGTTAAATTTCTAGGTGACTAGATGTTTCTTTGTGGGAGCTTACGGTCCGATGTCTTGTGCAACATAGCGCACTTATAGTAAGCGCGTTTTTGAACGGATTAATCCTTTTCCACAGATATATACATGTATTTATGCGTGTTCATGCAGACTGGTCCATTTTTACGCATATATATTCCCAAAAACGCAGTTCTGCGAGTGCGATCGTGAAAGAAGCCGAGGCATTCAAAAATTTCATTTTCCAGAAAATGCCTCCAGCCGTGGAGCCTGTGGATGAGATGAATGCTTTGACAATCAGTGGGAAGAAAAAGAAACGGATTGCTGGCCGCTGCGACATGGAACTTGGTGATGTGACGGTACACAACGTAAAACAACTGCGCACCTTGAATTCCTGCATCCTCCCAGTCCCATATAATGCGAAATTCTATGCCAACGTCGTCGCGGATGGTGAAATGTCAAAGTTGGCGTATGTGAACGACATTGTGGTTGGAGCTGTGTGCTGTCGCATTGATGAATATGAAGGAAAACGATCGCTATACATCATGACCCTAGGTACATTGGCTCCGTATCGACAACTTGGTGTTGGGAACATGCTACTCGACTATGTATTTTCATTAACTGCTAAGGATCCCGGTATAGAAAACGTATTTCTGCATGTTCAAACCAGCAATGAAACCGCACTCAACTTCTACAAGAATCGAGGATTTGAACAGGTGGGTACCGTTTCCAGAACTATTGCTGTACTTGTAGTACATTAGTACTTCTCCTGGCAACATTTCGTTTGGGGCCAGCAATATCGGTGTGCTTAGCGAATTTCTGAAAGTGAAGATTTTCGAGTTGGTCACAAAATTCAAGCAGTGCTCCGTGGCAAATGAAGATGATTGTAATCATAACAGAACTTGAGCTTAAACTCTGACCCTTTTGTGTTTATGAACGACAATTTTTAACGGATTTGTCAAAATGTTCTCTCTTTCCTTTTTTCTGCTCTGATGGTTGAGCTAAGATCATGCAAACGTGTTAAGGTTCTACAGATAGCATGGTTAGCCTGGGACGAAAATCTAAAACTGCTCCAGATTCGTCAACTTAGAAAGGTGGGAGGGGGTGAGGTGTGGAAGGAAGGACTCATAGGGCAGTGCAAAGGAAGGGGAAATCTATGGGTGAACGTTGCAGCTACAATGTCTTAGGGCGCGTGCATCCCCGTTACCATATAGCTTTTTCCATGGCTAGAAAATGAGGCGATGAAGGGAAATGAGACTATGAGCAAGCTTGTTCTTCACTTTCATCATATGCGTGTTTTTTACTTCCACTCTACCTTGCTCTGCCTCCCTGATCCGCTCAAGGGTACATTTGCTTATGCTTAGGTGAGCCCTGTAGTCTATACGTAAACACAATTTTTGTCCCACAGAGTGAGAGCTGCCTTCGTTATTTATTTTATTGGCGAAAAATCCTCTCTGATGCTGTATTTATGAGTACCTTATTATAGGCTGGAGTTGTAGAGAACTACTATAAGCACGTGGAACCGAAGGACGCCTACATTCTAGTCAAGAAGGTCAAGTCCTGAACTATGTAATGATTCCATTTCTGTTATCTCTAGGCTACTGAGAAATCGCATGTGTGTCACATACGATAACGTCATTGCTACCGGGTTTTAACCGTTGTTGGAGATTGTTCTTCTTCCAGCAATGCTAGTTTCGCTTGAAATTAATTCTTCTTCTGCATTACAATTGCTCGTTATCGCTCCTATCCGATGAACAAATTAGAAATATACGAAGAGTAAGATTATAAATGTTTAATTTGTGAAAAGTGTTCGATTTCCTCTGTACTGGTGTGTTTCGATGTTCAAGAATTTATCATTGGTTGAAGAATCAAATGCCACGAAGATGATCAGATTTATAGCACTTGGTGATAAGAAGTTCTACCGTTAATCATATGACACAAGTATAGCTAGTACTTTCATGAAACGATGCTGCACGCATAACCCAGCGGTATCGTGAAAGTGTAGTCGAGCATGAACATCAGATATACTTGTAGATGGGATGCGGTTTTCCAGTCTTTCTTAGCTCCATTGATTATTTTCGATTATGTGGTCACACAATTCTGAACTCCACCCACAGTGTCTGAATGAGACCGTGATGATAGCGACAATGGCCAACGTTA